AAAAAAAAAAAAAAAAAGCACCTTTCCAATGGGTCCTTTCCCCAATTAACCAGCTCCCCGATGGGATGGGCCCAGGGCGGGCAGGAGGGCAAAGGGCCGAGGGCACAGTTTACTGTCTTTTGGGAGGATGACCGCGGTCTTGGAAAGCTCCAGAATGTCACATGTGTCCATGAACTCCTTCAGACTCTGGAAGCTGGAAACATTCTGTCTGTCTGCAGTCGGGGATCAGGATCACATCAGTGACTGCAGCGCTGGCCACTTGAGGGTCTGACCCCCATCCTTACCCCAGGAGCTGCTGAAAGGTCCTCGGCGCTTACGCCGGGAAACAGGGGGTTGGCCAGGAAAGGACAGCGGCTGCTGGGCCCCTCCTCACCGTCACTCACAGGGCAGCCAGGCTCGGGAAGTCACCTGGGGAGCCCTCCCTGCTTGCATAATCCCCTCCGGCCAGCCCCTCAGCTGGGCCTGGGCCTGCTGCACCCTCAACATGCCCCACCTCGCCTGAGACCCCAGGAGCTCACCTCCCCGCTACCCTCTCCAACGGACCAGGCCACTCCTTTCCCTGTACCCAGAGTGGCCGGTGCCTGGAATTGGGTCCGTGCCCTTTAACCCAAGTGGGGTCACTTTTTCCACACCCCTCCATCCCGGCAGACCCCTACCTGGGACCCGTCTCACACCTCCTCATCCCATTGCGTCCCTCACCCATAACACTGCATCTGCACCCGCCACCATCCTGGTGGCCTCCATGCCACTCCATTGCCCCTGCCCCAACCACTGCCCCAACCAGCCCTCTCCCTGCCCACCTCACCCCCTAGGTGGTGCCCAGCCTGTATGCCCAGTGCTCCTCATCCCTCCCTCTGCACCCCCTCCACTGCCCGTCCTCTGCCACCCGCTGTGCCCGCTCACGGAAGAGCAGCAGGTTCTTGTAGTTCTGGGCTGCACGCCCCAGGCGGAGGTAGACCAGACCGTAGCTGTAGTCAGTGGACAGCACGTGGAAACCCTTCACCCCTTTCACTGAAAGAGAAGCCTGGAGCTGCCCGCTGCTTCCTGGATGGCGTGGCTGTGCCCGCCCTCAGCCCTGACCCTGGTGTCCAAGGCCTCGGCTCCCCCAGCCGGGTGCAGGTGTCCAGAAGGGACTGAGTGCCCTCCCGGGGCCTCCCCTCCCAGGCCAGGCCGCCCCGCACATATGTGTAGGCTCTGGGAACACAGCCAGCCTGACTCCCGCCAGCCACGTGCTCTCGGGGGCCAGGGGCCTGCCCAAGGCACAGGGGGACAGAGCATCTCAGGCAGGTCCTCCGGGGCCCAGATCCTGGGCACATTGCCCTTCCGTCCTCCTCCCACCCCGCCGCGTACGCACAGGTGTTCCTGAACACCGGCTTCTTCCCGTCTTTCCTCAGGGTCACCTCCTGGGACTGGCACCCCTTCAACCTGGGGGCAAGGCGGGGCTACAGGCTGCGGACCAGGGAACCCCCTCCTCCTGCCCAAGGCCGTGGACCCCTCCGACACCTCCCAGTCCCGCCTTTGCTCCCGTGGGGCCTGTGGGGAGGTTCTGGCCAGGTCCCCGGTTTTTTGCTTCACTATTCAGCTCATCTGAGGATTTTCCAATTCAGATCAGGGCCTGTCCCTCGGCATGGGAGACACTCCAAACACCCACCGCTGTGGGGTGGCCCCAGGGCTGCAGGCGGCTTCCTCTGAGTTTAGCGGGAGGAAGTGGGGACGGTCCCTGTGTAACTTCCAGATGGACAGGCCCCTCCTGGACTCCTCTGCAGCCCTCAGGAAGCTCCCTCCTCCTGGAAGAGGAGACCTTTGCCTGGGGGGTGCTGCCTACTCACCGGCTGAAGGCGAAGAGCACCCGGAGCTGGCCCACTTTGTGCACCCTCACCACAGACGCCCCCAGCTTCCTCTTGTCCCTGGCCGGCAAGAATCCCTGGGCGTTAGTGGCAGTGGCCAGAATGTACCAGAATCCTGAAAACTGCGCAGCAGGTGTGTGGGTGGGGACAGGAACTGCCCCCCGGGGGCTGCCCCCACCCCCAAGGGTCCCAGCTACAGAACCCAGGAAACAAGGGACCCTTCTGTGAGCCTGAGCCCCAGCCCCGCCGGGTGCTGCCTCAGTCCTGGCCACCCAAGCCCTGGCCACCGGAGCAGGGCCAAAGAGAAGCAGGTGCCCAGCTGGACCTCAGGCAGCACAGGGCTGGGCTGTGGGCACCAGCAGGTGGGAGGGCCCCTACCTCAGAGGCCCCGGCTCCTTTCCACGTGGACTCCTGGGGGCCGGGTACTGCTCAACCACTTCACTTCCCGCCAGCCCCCGGCCCCCAACTCTGCTTGCTGCCAACCCCTGCATCCTGGGCACCGCTGTGCCAATGAATGCTGCTCCTCAGCTCCCTCAGCAGGGTGCCTGGGCCCTCCCGCTGCAGAAGATGCCCTCCTTGCTCCGAACCCACCTTGCTCTCTGCCCTCTGCCCTCTGGGCATCTCACAGCTCCTTGTCCACAGCTCTCTGGGCCCCTCCACCCTGACCCCTCCTCAAGGCTCCCTGCCTTTCCCCAGCAGGTATCGGGGCCCCGTGCTGGAGGCTGCCACGGAGAGACCAGGTGGGCAGCACCCGTGCCCAGAACGCCTGGCAGCCCTGAGCCTGGGCAGCTGCCGGGAGACTCTGCAGGAAACTGTCCCAGCCCCAGGGCTCAGCGCCAGCTCAGGGGCCAGCAGCACATGGCTCACCTTGTCCCAGTTGAGGGTGTGGGACTCCCTGGGGTGCCCCTCCTGCACCTGGGACCCCGAAGCCGGCACCAGCACCAGCACCAGCGCCAGCACCAGCAGCCCCGGCCTCATCCTCACCTCCTCCCTCAGCCACCAAGGCCAGTGTTTAAACCTCCCCGGAGCTGCCAGCCTGTGTCAGGAGGGGTGGGGGAACAGCAGGTGTGGCTTTGGGCTCTGCTACTCTCTCCCCACCTAGGGACCGCCCCCAGGCACTCAGGTGCAGCCCACACAACCCCGCCCCGTGGGCACTGCCAGCCTGGGCTGCCCTGGAAGACAGAGTCCTCTCTGAGGCCCAGGACCTTCCTGTCCTCAGCGCCCGGCCTGGGGTCACTGTGTGTGTCCCTGAGACTCACTAAGCCCTGACCCTCATCCCAGACCTCCCAGGTGACAGGCAAAGTGCTGGGTGTGGCTTTTCTGGGGCAGATGTGGGTGGGGGGAGCACCCCACGGCGGCCACAGACACAGACCCCGCCACCTGCTTGAGACCCTGGCACCTCAAGTGCCTGAGAGGTACCAAAGGCCGGGCCGGGGCTGTGTGCCCCTGCCCATGCCCGTGAGCATGTCCATGTGCAGGTGTGGGTGTGTGCTCACATGTGCACGTGTGTGCACGCCCAGCCTGGAGGGTGCAGGCACCTGTGTGTGCCTCACCTCACCCCAGCATGAGCCCCGCACAGTCCGCAGCCCCGCCTCCAGCCCCGGGGCCCCCACGGCCTGTGCTCCCCGCAGGATGGCAGGCAGCCCCCACACCCATCAGAACACAGGAGCACCTGCAGCTTCAGGTGTCTGGGGTCCCTGCCTCTGCCCAGGCAAGAGCCACAACCCCAGGCCAGAGAAGGCCGAGCCTGGGGGGTCAGGGGCCCCTCTGAGCCCTGCCAGCTGCCGCTCTCTTGCCCTGGGCAACCGGGGTGCCCGTGGCACCCAGCTGTGGTCCTGCTGGACATCACTGCTGGCTTCCTCCCAGGCTGTGTCCCCCCACCAGCCCCACCTCCGAGCCAGGGCCTGAGTTTGGGTATCGGAAGGCGCAGAGGGGCTCTGGCAAGGGACTGGGTAACTGGGTCGGGCACGCGTCTGCTCCGCAGCTGGCTCTGGTTCTGTGGCTTGGTCCTGGGTGACGACCCCCTGCCATCCTCCCCACAGTTCCCCATCGGGCCCCCAGTCAAGAGCATCCGGGTTTGCTGTGGAATCGCTTTATTCTGAACTGGAGCTGGGCCCTGGGGGCTGCTGAGGGAGGTGGGTGGACCCTGGCCAGGGTCACAGGACCCTGCGGGCACTGTCCCTGCTGGGAACGCAGCGCTCACTGAAAACCAAAGGGAGTGTGAGGGTCCCAGCCCACCAGGGAGGCACCCTCCCCCACCCTCAGCCGCCTTAGAGGCAGCGGAGCCACAAACCCGTGGGCTTAGGCGGAGGGTCCTCCTGCCCCCACCCCCAAGGGAGCCAAGGGTGAGGCTCAGGACGGCGGCTTACCGGGAGGATCCTGCGAGCACAGGTGACTGGAAGAGGACACAAGGCTGGTGGTGAAAAAGGCGGAGCCCCCCAGCGCCCTGGGGCCCCGCCCACAAGACTCGCCTGCCCTGGGGACCCGCCCCCAGGCCTGACTTTGGGCAGGGGCCGATGAGGACCCCTCAGCCTGCCTGATTCCCTGAGAGCAGCTGAATTGGGCAGAAGCCCCAGGGTCTGTGCCACCCCATCATGCCCTGTGGGCACCAGATCTTGCCCCACGCCTCCCCTGTGGCTGCTCTGGTGGACACTCACGGTCCTTCTGCAGCTGGGCCTGCTGCTGTGACGGGAAGCCCAGGCCCCTGCTCCACTTGGTGAAGAGCCCCATGGCCTCCTGGCTAGCCGTCTCCGTCCGACCTGGGGGTGCCAGGGCAGTGCAGGGGAAAGCAACCTCTGAGAGCCAGGGAGGGGCCGGGGAGGGGCCTGGGAGGAGGCCACCTGCCACGGGATGCTGGCCCCGGCCCTTCCAAGGCCACCTCCAGTGTGGCCAGCCTCATGGTCGGGGGGCTCAGCCTGCATGTGGCCCCCACAGCCCAGTCACCGGTTTCCCATGTGGCCTCCACGCGGGGCACTCGCCACACAGCTCCCCTCATGCCCCCCCTCACCACACAGCTCCCC